AAATGAGAATATTCGTGGTGTAAAATTATGCAACTGTGGTCTACAGGTAAGTTTTCAAAATGAATGTGGTAGCTTCCTCATGTGGAAAAAAAAAAAAAAAGTACAATTTTGATCAAAACAAACCTGTGAAAAAAGTAAACTGGGACTATGGAAATAGGTGGCAGAACAGCATCTAACCAAAAAATACACCTTACTATGAACTCATTTTTTATCTCAGACATTCCCAGTGGGGTGAGGATTCAAAGTTTGAAAACATTGTTAAGTTGCCCTACAGAGGAATTAATTTATTGGATCATAAACAATTCTTAATATCATTCTGTTAACAGACTATTCTTTCAGTTCCATCTTTAGAGACTTCACTGTTTTCATATTTTTGTCTTTATTCATTTGTCAGTTATACCGATTTGGCATGTACCAGTCCACTATCTGATTAACAGTATTTTTTGCAAACTGCTATAAAACTAGGTGTCCAAGTAATTTTTTATTCTTCCCATGCTCTTTGCAGATTTCCTCCACTTACACAAATACTGTATAGCAAGCACTTCTCTTTCTATAACACAGATTGTATCTTTATTGGCAATAGCTGAAACACAACACTGACCTGAACCACTCCTGAACTACTCTCCTCTATGATACAGTAAGGCACAGAAGCTAATGCAGACTCAAATATTCACATCAAATGCTCTTGCTAGTTCTGCTATAAACTGCTAGCCTAGACCTATCCTGAAAGGATTTATATCAAGGGGACTCTGGAGTATTTTGTAGATGTGAGGAAATCTGCAAAGAAAAAAAAAATCAGTACTATGAAATGTTAAAATACTGGAGAGCATTACATTGGCATACAACCTTTCATCCAAGCAAAAGCTTTACAAATATTCTGTAACTCTTATTCACTCAGTGAAGCAAGCAAATTTTAAATTTTCTTTCACAAAAAGAAACAAACCCAAAGACACAATCCAATCATTCAAAAATTAGAGGCAGGCACCAGTTAATACTGAATAGTCATGAGCTCTAATGTCCTCAGTCTAATACCACTTCTGGGAAATACATCCTGGCAGTTTATGGTTGATGAGGTATAACAAGAAGGAAAAAGATATACTTCCTAAAAGGAATATGGCATCAAAGAGATTTGCCATGAATAGTTTTCATGTGCCATGGACATTTATGGAAATTAGAACTCCAAACAATCTAGGAAATGCTTTCAAGGAAATTTCAATGATGTCTAAAATTGCAGTTTTCAGTACTTGCTGCTGATTCAGTTCCACTCAGTCCAGAGACTGTTACAATTTAAGATGTAACAAGAATTACAATTCAAAATGTAAAGAGATAACTCCTATCCTGAATATGTTCAATGACAACACATTTTAACACATTTCAGAATCTCTAAGCAAATGTTTATTTTGCCAGCAAATGGAGTGAGGAAATAGAAATGGGAAAAAAAAACCCACAAAACAACAGCTATTGCCACTTTCCCATTCAAAATTTAAAAGCAAAGTTACCTTATATCAGAACACATATTAAGATTAAGCTTTGCCCTAATTAGTCAATTGTCCCCTACCCCTCCCTCCCAACGGTACCAATGTATACGTGGAATATTATTTAGGGGGAAAAAAGCATTATTATATTTTACAGTTTGTTCTATCTGATGTTTATTCATGGTTTAAAAATACGGCATCTTAAAACTAATGTAAAAAATGAATTAATGGTTTCCACTGACTGGGACAAGGAGGGCAAGAAAATAAATTTGTTTTTTTGTTTTTTTTTTCCTTAGTGACAAGCATGAAAATCTCCAGCAATTTTTCTGTCTCATTATTAAAAAAAAAAAAAAATTATTCAAACGTACTGACAAGAACAGGCTACTGAGATTTTGCACTGATCTTGTTGATTATTTGCAACTTACTCAAATGTTCCAACTGTATTATTCTAGAATATATATTCTGATAAAGAGACTTATCCAAACAAGTTCCAGCACTGACCCAGTTTTTGTACTGACTCTATTTTGAACGTGTACTTTTTTAAAACATTAAGAGATGAAGTAAGTAATTCAGATGTAGAAGCTCAAATGCTTACCACATAGCATATTTTCTGGAACACCATACCAAAAATATATGTGAATTATAATACACATGCAAAGGTATCGCTATTTCAAAGACAGGATTACCACCAGCGCTTGTGTTCAGTACAGAAATCTGTAGAAATGATTTATGAAAAGTTGTTTATAAGCCTGTTCCGTTCTGTAGAATTGGAGCATGAATTCATGCTAAGTAAATCATTACCCGAAAACGTATTCTTCATTTGCTAACTCTTTGCTACAATATTCAAACTTATATCTGCCACCACTTTACGCAAAATGATGGCTGAAAGCCTCTAGCTTTCCTTCTTCCTTTTTCCAAAATGCTTCCCCAGTCAGCCATCTTTTACAACACACCTCTACCTGGTCTTCCTACTCAACCCCGCTGTATTTAAACTACTATTCCTATTATCACTTTCCCTATCCTGTCACCCCAAAAAGCAGCAAGTTTTATTCACCTCTAAATGCAGCTAAACAAACTTAGGGAATCCTGTTCTTGATGCAGAGTGCAGTGTTTTCGCATTTATAGACTAGAGACTGTGAGTAAATAAAATCTCATAACTGAGCCCTCTCATGGGTTACGTAAGTATACAAGCATTGCAAAACAGAAATTCACATTCAAGCCTACCCATTCATAAACCCACTGCTACTGCTCTGCCATGACCTGCTCCCTCTGCCCAAGAGCTTCCCCTCTCCCAGAACTCGCCCGTGTTACCCAAAGACTTGTTTTACAGTAATTTAAGTGTTTTAAAAGCGGTGCAAACTAGACAAGATGCTTACTAGGTGTGCAAACATACAATACTATTAAGTTTACTCCTGCAGGAGTCCTGTACACAATTTAAAGATGATACCTGGTCCTAACACTAAAATCTGCATACAGCAATAAAGAATATCAGATAAAGTTTTGTTTGTTTGCTTGTTTCTGTGGGTTTGGAGTTGGGGGAGGAAGTGATGGTGACTTTTTTTTTTGAAGAATCAGCAGCCAATCTGACACCCTGTTTAGGTATAGTCAAAGAACCTATTAAACGTTATACAGTAAATTAGAAAGTATCCACTGCCTGCCAAAAAAACAACCACCACTACCCCTTTCCAAACTGAATATATGGAGAGTCTTAAGTCTGAAAAAACACTGGGAAAGAGGAAATGCTCTTAGAGAAGAGCTGGATTAAGAAAATAACAATTTCAGCTTCATGCTAGCAGAGTAAACTTTTACTTAGAAATTCAGACATTCAGAGAAAAAGAGGAAAACACTTTTTATAGTCAGCATGCATTCTTTAAAATGCAGGATAGAAAGTGCATCATAATTCCAGAAATGCTCTCTAGTGCATTATCATTATGCAACCCACAAAGTTTCAATGACACAGCTTGAAGCAATTATTTTTAATATGGGACGTACTCCCCTGGCCAGTGCAAGCTCCAGAATATACCATATACTTTAAAAAATAAATAGATAAAAATAATTCCTTGGTAATGGTATGTGTGTTCTTTGATGGCTATCGTTCTCTACCAAAGATAGTGGCAGCTAAATTGGGTTACACGGAATTAGAGTAGACCCCTTAATCAATTTTTTGTGTGTATTGTGAAAAACTTGAGATTGCAGCAAGTTGACACCAATTCTAATAAAAAAAACCATAGGTGACTAAAAGCCTCTGCTACTAAATACATTTTCTAGCATTCACTTATTTTAGAAATAGTATCCAGGCGGTGTGTATTGTCATACTTCTGCTCACTGTTTATTTCCTCTAAATAAGCATCAGACTAGTTGCAAGGTTTGAAAGGGCAAGAATGATACATTTAATGAATCTCAACTTATGTCTTTAGCTTCCCTGTCTTTCAGATACCAGACACCTAAACATTTCTCACCTGTCCCAAGGATTTTGGCTGCAGCAGCCAGAGTACGCTGAATGGCACAATTTTCCCTGGGAAATCCCCATCTCTCCTTTAGTCCAGAACATTCAATTTAGGGCCTGAATATGCTATCAGTCATCTTTTCCAATGACAAAGACCTCGATTTTTTACAACAGAATTGGTACAAGATAAAAGGTGAATTTATACAAAAAACACGGGATTTTAAAATAATCAAGCCTGAACCTATAGGTGTTTTGGATCACGTCAGCCTTTCCACCACAACTGTGAGGCCTAGAAACTGACTTAAAAAAGTAAAAATAAACTCTTGTGCAAATATTTAACTCTAAAGGCTGTGGCATCTTTTCCTGCATAGAGATGGAAAAGCACAAGTCAAAGCATAAGGTGCTCTTTTACTACCCAAATATGTTTCTGACATTGACAGTGGAATACACTTTCTTCTTTTTCCCACAATAAGAATGTAAGTCTGTATTAAATACAGACGAGTTTCTTCAAGACATATAAACTTAAAAGATCAATATATAGTATAATTTATTTACCAATAATGGAATATCATGCAAGGTGAGCCCTGTCTATCCAGATAGTTTTGAGAAGCAAAAAAACAACATTGCTGACTCTGAAATGTTGAGGATGTAGATTCTACTGAAGGAGACATTCTCTACTTCCTCTGATTATAACAGGCATGGGTTCTGCTATTCATTGCACTGATGCTGCTACAGCCAAATCACAGTTGAAGAAGGCATGATGTTACTTATACTCCATGAAGAGAACAATATGTTTAGAAAAAACAAGCAGTATTTTTTTATTTCTACTTCAAGAGACAATACTGGTTATCCTCTTTGAGATTCCTTCTTCAGACAAATGTATACAGTTGATGGTTTTACTCTTTCTTTAAAGCACAACTGCAGTCACTCGGTAACTATAAAATACCTAGTCTCATTAAGGATGTGCAAGAAAGAAAAGAGAGAAAGATTGAGATCAATTACCCAAAATATCCTAAAATAAAATTGTTTCTTATTGAAAGCATTTTTCATAAACAATGACAAGATGGATTTCTTCTCACCAGACTGATGGAGCACAGGTTGAGCTGAGGCCCCTAAAGAAGGCCTTTGTTCGTTATCAGGAGAGGACAATAATGAAGTTGAAGGAGGACTTTCTGTTGAAGATGATGTTGAAGGAGCTTGGGCTGACATTGTAGAAGAGGAAGATGATGGAAGTTGTTCAGAACCATCTACTTCCATTGCAGTTTCTGATTCTGTACTAGGTGGCATGTTATTAGTAGCAGGAGCATCTGCCCGACTAGTCCCACCTTCGATTAAAAATAAAAAAAAAAAAAGGCAAGAAAAACAAGAGCCCAAAGGTAAACTTACTCTGTCTCTAAAGATCCCTTTGCATTACCATTCATATGGCAAACAAGTGTGCTCAGTTCTTCAGAGTGCACTAAAAATTTTTTAGTTTACACCTCAGAAAGGCTGATATTCAAGGCCTGTACATCCAGTATAAACATACTTTCTGTTGTAATTATTATTACTGAAAAGAAGGAAATCACCTCTGGACCGTGATCTTCCTCGTCCTCGATTGCTTTGTGCAACTTCACTAGCTTCTTCAAACCATCTCGACAGCATGTCTGACATCCTCTGCATTAGAGAGACATTAGGACTTTGCTCCCCTGTAAAGCAAGTAATGCGAAAGTTTTATCTACAAGTTTACAAAAGCGTTCATTTTTTCTCCCCATTTCTTCTTCCACAAAAAAAATCCCTGTACTGTAAGCTACGTAACTAGTAATCCCCTGAACCATCTCCTTTTTTCAGCACAACAGTCCAGCAAGAATTGCCAGCTGAACATGGCACGGCACAAAAACCAACTGTCTTTCCTCCTTTTCTGTTTTACAATTACCTGGAGCTTTTATACACATGACATTGTGAAATTTATGTCATTCAGTTTTAAATGCTGGTTAAATAAGTTCAGGAGGCCTAGATTTTTGTGTTTTTCCAGCTAGTTATAAAATAACTGATTTTATCATTAAACAATGAGAGAGCAAAAAGACATAAAATTAGCACGTGGTGTTTTTAACATTTCCAAAAGACTTCTTTATGACTTAGATTTTCCTCATAAGCACAATTTAATACAACAGCAGAGTTCTTTTAGGGTTTTTCATTTTCACATTTTGGATCAAGTGTCAGGATTGCAAAAACTCTCAAGCAGCAAAATCTTTGACATACTTTCTTTCAACATAAGTCAAAACATTTCCTCCTCATTTTATTTCTGGTTTTATTACATATGAAACAAAATATGTTTCAAGAGAGAAGATAGGAAAAATTCCATTTGTAAAGGGCTGAAACAGAATATTTGAATCTTTAAGTGTTTTTTGTATTCTGTGAAACGTGGTGTTTTGTTTTGGTTGGGGTTTTTTGGGTTTTGTTTGCTTGTTTGTTGTTTTAAACACATTGGCATCTTCCAATAGAAGACCATTCCACTGGACTGGACCGTTCCACGCATACTGAAATAAGAGCTTCTGCTCGCCCCTTAGCCACTTTTGAAGTATGCAGTGTTTAAGCAACGTTTGGAAAAGTTTTGTAGTTGAAGACCTTAAGAAATAGAATCCTTGTGAAGTACAATTACTTATCAAAATACATATGTGAAAAATACTTTAATGCCCTGCATACAAAAGCTAACACTGAAAGATTCTGGAGCGTACTTGGGAAGAACATGTACAGTGAGAATATGCCTCTCAAAGATCAGTGCTGCCACCCGCACCGATGTTATAAAAGCTGAAAGACCAATCAAATATCTGGAGCAATTGATTATCTTTCAGGACTGCATATAATCTCCACTGCAAGGATATAGCTTGAATATATCATGATTAGACCTTGCTTTTAGATTATTTGCTTGAGTTCAGAAGACATTGTTGGGAATGGAGAAGGGAAGGGGAACACACCAACCCACCCACCCAAAAAAACAATGCCTCTCAATCTGACCCCAATGCCTTGTCTATCCTCACTTCCACACTGCAGGTCTCTGACACTCCCCTGGGACCCCTCATTCCCTTCCTGTACCCCAGGCAGGGGAGCTCTGACCTCAGAAGCTTAAGACACAAAAAATAGAATGCAACAGCTGAAGAGAACAGAAAAAAGACGGTTAATGATGGGAGGAAAGGACAATGAACAGTTAACAGAAAAGTAAGTCATGGGTCACCACATGCCTAACTAATGCAGTATAGCTATTCTCTCTCAGTCGCTATACAGTTGTATCAAATAATGCACAGTAAAGATACTGAAGCTTTGTTTTGAGAAAATAAAAATCTAGCCAATGTCTATACCGGAGGAGTCCTTTTCTCAGGCTTTATTTTCTCCTCAGCAGATTTACTTGATATTATGGGGAAATGACAGCTAGAAGGACACTGAAGATACTTAGCTGAAAAAGAATTTAGATGAAAAGTAACGAACTGTGCAAAGGCAACGCTGCAACTAATTTGGATGGGAAAAACCTGCCACAAAAATTATAGCAAAAGTGTCCCTAATATGAGGAGGTATACAAATAAAGTCTGTGGAATGAAAGCATCAAGTAAGCAGAATGTAAAACTGTTAATAATCAAACCCTGTGATATTAGAATAAGAAGGCACATTATGAAATTAAGAGAGCAGTTTAAAAGAAAGGAAAGAAAGTATTCCTTTACACAGTGGGCACTGAACTTCTGGAATTTTTTGCCATAGGAAATATTATCAACAGGTTCAAAAAAAGGATTACAGAAACTCACAGGCAATAGAACCATACGCAGATTCTAAAGGAACAGATGGGAACATACCCTCTAACATTTCTAATCCAGTAATTCCAAATACTGGTGGAGCAACAAAGGCAACAGACTAAGGTAAGAGGACAGGCTCATGTTCTCTCCCTAAACAGCATCTCCTATTGCCTGTGTCAGATACAGAATCCTGCTTTACATGGACCATTAGTCTGATACAGCTAGACACTTCTATTCTAGTTTGGGGAATCAGAAAGATGAGAAAACCAACACAGAAAATCTGGAAAGGGAAACGGTAGGCAGAAAAGGGAGACAGATTTAAGGGAACTAGAACAAATACTTGTACCCCCACAACGTGTCAGATTTAAACAGAAACACATCATTAGATGAAGAGTAAGATGAATGACAAAGCATCCTCTGCCCTGCTTTGTTATCCCATTTTCTGACACTAAAGCATAGCTTTGGAAATGCTCTATCTACTGAAACCTCAAGTGATTGAGTAATATATTACAAACATGAAAATACAAGGATAAAAATTTAGTCCCTACATGTGTTTTATAAAAAAAGTGAAAGATATAGTATTAGAATCCTATTGCTTTGAATTCTAGTCCCCTAATGTAACCATTTGTCCTGGTTTCAGCTGGGATAGGGTT